AGAGAGAGAGAGAGAGAGAGAGAGAGAGAGAGAGAGAGAGAGAGAGAGAGAGAGAGAGAGAGAGAGAGAGAGGTCGGAAGTAGGAAGCGTAAGACAGGAAGTAGCATAGGCAGTTACATTGAAGAGAACAGCTATATTGTTGTTGTTGTTGTTTTGATATCTGGAGACGGGTTGTCGGGCTTTTTGTACGAAGAGACTACAACAAATTGCGTTCTCGTTTGGTGTGATTCCGGCTTGTGATATGCTTTCGACCTCCCTCTCATGTGCTTCCCACGCTTTGTGTTTTTCTCTGCAACCAGTGCAACGGAAAAATTGGATGCCCATCGCTTGGTTCCTTGCAATTTCGTATCGGAGCATGGTTCCCTGGCCAGCACACCAACATTGGTGAGTCAGAACAAACGGTGCCGGTGGATGCTGTCTCGCAGTGTTGTTGATTCTCTTGCCAGCCGGAGAGTGATCGCCTGCGTTAGGGTAGAGGATGCAGGGGTGAGCATTCTACGGATCACATGGCAGTGTGATGAGAGTATATTGATGCTTGTCGTTTCTGAAGGCAGTACAGTGTTCACACGTTGGTCGTGCCTGAAGCATGACCGGTAATCAAATGGAGCATCATAAGTTGGTGAGATCATCTCGTGGTTATGGGAAGCATGATCAGGTACGTGTCTCTAACACTATATACCTTCCTGTGTTCTTCTTACAATGAGGTCGACCGTAGATCCCTCTCCTCGTGAGTTACAGGCACACACTACCTTTGAGAGGCTGCCTTCGTATGGTCTGTCTTTTGGGAGAAGGGCAGTGCATGGAATGTCAACTGAATGTGATGTCGAATTTACTAAACTAGTCCACGCATGCATGCGCAGACATACCAGCTCAGCTTGTGCTGTAGGAACAGAAAGAGCGATCGCCAAGTCGTCCTATTTGCGACTTCTTGATGGGTTCTACCCATCCATGCTTGTCTATTTGTCCACTGGGGTAGTCCGCTGACTTGAAGACACATCGCTCTCAAACACAACGGTTAGTTGTCAGTTAAGGGGGTGGGATACCGAACTAATGCAAACGGGAAGTAGATGCCAATTAATTCCTCACCTGAATTTGTTGTAAATTACCACACTGTCATGTTTTCCATTGTTCTAGCATTGACTTTTGCTTTTGATTAGAGACCATAGAGCACACCGGTTATGCATTCTAACAGACTGTCAGACACCATAAAATTGATCTGCAATCTACCTAGCCTCATTATTTTTTCGACTTTTCATAAACGGCTGTCAAACAGCATGGTTCATTCTAGGGTCCTGTATGTATGTATGTATAGCACCACCGGTGAAACTTGTCTGAGTCGTCCTCGGTAGCTACTTAAGGGCGGAAGGTAAGAACCGGAGAGGAGGACAACCGGTGATACCTTGTGTTAGGTGAGTAGTTATTTCTGAAGGGTATGAGCCGTCCAACAGAACAGCCAGAGAGGAGGAGGACATCGCAGACCTACACAGCTCAAGTCCCATATGTTGTCTGTAGCCTACCTCACGGTGGGGGGAAAGAGGACTTGGGAGTTGGAGCGGAAGATCACCCATGGCTGAGTCTTCAGCACAGGCAAGTTCTCAGGCTGCTGCTGCTTCATTGGTGCCCCCAGTCGTGTCTAGCCAATCTCCAGGCGACAGTGCTAGTCAGTCTGCAGAGGACCTACGCATACAATGTTAGAAGACGAGCTCAGGCAAGCAAGATGTAGAAAACAGGCACGTGCAGACTCACAGGCAAAGGGTATACAGAAGTTAGAGAGATGGGTGTGAGCCCGTAGCAGCCAGCCCGAGTTCAAGCCTCCAACCTGGGTCTCCAACGACTTCAAGCCGAGGGAACATGCGGGGGGGCTGCACCCGACCTGGAGATGGGCGATACCCGCCAGGGGTCAGCCAGTAGCATCAGGACCGAGCTTCTTCGATGGGCCAGTCGCTGTGCCTCCCCTCCAGTCCCTTCCCCCTACGAACATCAGCAGCTTCTGCTTAATGCCACTCGGGGGAACCAATGGCCTATCTCCAGCATTGTTCAATGTTCATTAGATAAAAAGAAAAGGAAAAAAAGGTCCAGCTCCTGCATGAAGGCTCAAAGTCCCAGTATGTGCTGCTTTCGGCTGTCGTCTTATGCCTGTGGAAAGGCTTGAAAGTTGAAAGTGTTAACAAGGAGTTAAAAAAAAAAAGGCTAAAAAAATGTGTGCTGTGAGTGAAACTCCTACAGTTACGCATGGGTGTGACATACTTTTCAGGGATCCAGCCCTCCCTCACCCTCCTCCCCCCTTTGGGTGTACTTTAGTTGCCACCCCATGGTGATTGGGTAGGTTGAGGGGTACATTTGCTTCTTTTGTTTGAAAGACAGATTATCAAATTGACTGGAGGTGTTACCTGGTGCTAACCACCATAGCTAGGGTCTAGTGATAAAGAGGAGAGGCATGGTACTAAGGAGAGAACAACTACTCAGAGAGGGCTCGATCTAGGGAGACAGAGAGAGAGAGAGAGAAGGGAGTGATACAAGTCACGAAGAGAGAGAGAGAATGCATACGTGAGTGTGTTGGGATCGGCGGCTATAGCCGCCTGCACTTAATGATCGGACTATTCCATTAACTTGTTAAACTGTAATAATAATTCCGAGTTTCTGCTGATTTAAAAATATATATATATATATATATTGTCACAGCTTGTCACAGCCCCTCGTTTGTTGTCCTCTTCTCCCTCTCTGCCTACGGTTTACCGGGCAGTTCTATTTGACGATATATATATTGTCACATCACTACAAACTAAAAGAGCGCACTTTGCGGAACAAAGAATAAAATAAAAAAACGGGCACAGTGATAACATGCAAAAAA